TTATGCAAATAGCGCATAGCGCATAGTGCATAGCCCATAGCGCATATCGCTTATCGAAAACTCCAAAGTCGAAACTCGAAAATCGCATTTCGCTTTATGCAAATAGCGCATAGTGCTAAGCGCATAGCACATAGCGCATAACGCATATCGCTTATCGAAAACTCGAAAGTCGAAACTCGAAAATTGCATATCGCGTTATGCAAATATAAAAAACCCTTATTTAAAACACGCTAGAAAAAACCGTTACAAAAAACACTAAATTATCTAAATTATACAAAATGAATAACCGAACCCTAATCGCCGTGTTAATAATGTTACGCAACAAAACGTACAACATAATTTTTTACAAAACAAACCAAATTATACCTCACTTTTATATTGTACGGCGTATGGAATATTACAAATAAGCGGTCATTTGTTATATTCCGCGTGGTAATGACGTTACAATATTATGCCAACCGATGCAATATGTACCCGAATAACACGCATAACCCGGATATAACCACGCGGTTATAAACTACGTGTCACCTAACCACGCTCTGCTACCATCGATTTGTGCCGTACAATGGGGTTCGGGTCCCGCGGCACAACCTACCCTTGAACTACGATTGCACCGGAGGGCATAATATTGTAAACGAAAAGGGGAAAATGGTACTCACCAGCTCGATGAATTGCCTCACCTCCTGCAGGTGTCTTGTCTCAGTCAGTGTCAATCGACTCAAAGTCTACTTCAGTCAAGTCTAGGCCCAGCGATGCTGCCTGAAGATGTACCAGTAATTTCGAACGCGAAACCGAATTTAGTGACCCCGTTCGCTACCGAGACACACCTGTTGTGTCTTCGCGTTATACAAAGAGCAACTCTAATCCGCACAAGTGTTCGCGACCGTCCCGCTTGGCTGCTCGATTCCGACCTTTTGTCGCACCCCTCTCCGCAGGCCCCGCGGCCGTCCGTAGTGGAGAGGGTTTCTCCATCTACCTGTCCGTGCGAGAAAAATAAAATAGGCGCGCTTACCCGCACTAAACGCGAGGCGCGAAATTTAAATTATGTTCGCCACCGAATATGACGAACCAGTACGATCTGTACCGAACAAATATGTTTAAGTGTCAAATCATAAATCAAAACAGTAATGATTATTTGATCTTTGATAGTACAGTAACGTTATAGTGTCTGTTTTATTCTATACTCTTTGACTGCTGTCAACAGATTGAGAGATTGTCTTTATGCTAATTCACGTGTTAAAAGTTCCTCCTGGAATTAAATTTGTGCTTCTTAAACTTATATTGTCGTTTGATTTAATGATATTTACTAAACAAATATGACCATGATAATATTCCAATAAGCTCGCTCTGCTGACAAGTTTCATTGCTGTGACGTTTACAGGGATAAAAAAAAACTTTCATTTGCGAAGACTTTATTACTGGTTATGTACATTACGTTATACGACGAATTAAATAACATTACTCCTTAATATTTAACGCCATTTATAATTTATTCATACAACTGAGATCAAATAAAATCAATATAAAAGTTAACATTTGTCGAAATAAAGAATTCAGACATTAGGAATTTTTTTAGATTTTTTTTTAATATTACCTCTATTTTAACTTTAGCTACTGTTTGTCTTCATTTTTAATAAGGAAATTGCAATTTTATATGATTATTTTATGGTTGATATTAGAGTTGTAACGGAGGCTATTTTAACGGAACCAGATGCGGATGCGGAGGCGAAGGGCTTCACCTCTGCAGAAGCAGTCAATAATGTAACATTAATTGCGATTTATTAAAGAAATAAAACTGAAACTACGTAATTCAAAATACAGATTGGTTCAATTATGCAAATATAATATACAATCATACTTATGAATAATATTTTTTTTAATGAAAAACCCTACACTTACGTCACGCTTAGGGCTATATATTTTCACGCTATTAAACTAAGGGGGTAAATATTTTGAATAAAGACCCTAATGTGGGAAAGAGACTATAAGTTGCTGCCAACATCAAGGAATCAAGAATGTCGTCATGTCATGTCATTTTGACATTTGTAATTGATAATTTGACAAATGTAAACAATACAATAAAATTTTACATAATTTCATGCGGGTAAAGCCGCACGGGAACAGCTAGTACTTTTATATTATACGGGTTTTTATTAAAAAAAGAACTATTCAAAAATATGGTGTAATTGCTGACATCTTAGGGAACAAAGAAGTGTGTGTTTACGCTTTATTATAATAGTATAGATAAAATTAATTAAAAAAGTGAAGTTTATTTGTGTAGTGTTGGCTGAGATCCGTGCGCGGTACCTGCGGGCGCGGGGGACGCGGTGACGACACTCTCCCTCGAGGTGGTTGTATGATTCCATAGAATTAGTATGATTCAACATACAAGATATCATATGAATTATATGCTCTGCAAATGTCCTGTATGTAAGAACACATTTGCAACGTACCAAAGACTATTGCTTCATACAGAGGCGGTTCATTTGAAGACGAGAAATTATAAATGTGATTTGTGTAAATCCTCTTTTATTTCAAAACGAGGCTATGACAGACATTTAGGAACAGAAAAGCATATCAATTATGCTTCTATAGTAAAGTTAGGATTTTTAAATCCTAAGTGAGATATTTACTAAAGTTATATTTTTATACTTAAAACGTTACTTTGGTTTAGTTTGAATTATTATCAAATTATGTTTTATATTTTATTGATTTGATGACTCCATTGGATTTAAATGAGTTTGACTGAAAATAATTTTAGAATTATTACTTTACTTATTTGATAAATAAATGATATTTTACGTAATTTTATGATTTCGTGACCCCTCGTATTCACATAAGTTTATTTTTATAGTGTTATAAATACATTTGAATCTAACTTTAATTAAATATGCTTCACGTTTTTATATCAATGGCAACATTGAAAACTTGAACTAAACCACAGATATTTAAACAATAACTACCTATAACGCCCCCAACCCAGAGGGGTAGGAAGACTTAATCTTAATGCATGGATTCAGCATGCCTGCGTACCCTTGAATTGAATTCTGTCTAAATGAACAATGGATTTTGGATTATGACATTAAACATTTTCTTGTCTTGCGGTTTACGATCGCATTTGTAAAAGTATTGTGGAACTTACACATCGAAAAATATATGTAAGAATGTCCAGGAAACATATTACCATAAAATACATTATCAACTCGAAAGATATTTGAAAACCGAGACACTGACGTAAAGAATTTAAAACATTTCTTTCGGGCAACACTAAAATAATAAATGTTAATTTTTTAAAATAAAATCCTTTGTTTGTACACGGATTATTGGGCCGTGCATTATTGGGTCGTGCATTATCGTGGCTGTACATTATTGCCTCCCAAACAAGACAAGACTTTTGACAGTTGACGTTTTCATAAAATATTGTAAGTTTCGAACGTTCGGTTTGTGTCGATGTTTAATTTATTTAAAAATGCAGGATTAAACATGAGATTTATTTTGTAATATTGTGCACAATATTTAACGAAGTTTTTTAATCAGAATAAATAAAAATAAAATGATTTATCAATGGATTTTTTTTGGTTAACTAAAAGTAAAAGTTTATGAACGCAGCTGTCAAGTTTGCTTTTTGACAATTCTCTCCGGATCAATACAAAATCCGACTTTCGATTCGATATCTTTGACTCTCACCCATTTATTCAAGGGGCGTTTTACTTGTAGAAGACTATTATCTAATCAGAAACGTAAGTAAATCTAACACAATAGTATTATTTAATTCCTTTTAAAATGTCTATTAAAGCAATATCACGAATAAGTACTAACACTTCCCTTAAGTTGAATTTTTGCTCACTTTAAGGTTTTCACCATTTTTAACGTTCAATTTTCTTTGTAAAGATACAAATAAAGCTTGACTTTAATTCCCGCCGATATTCACAATCATATTACATCGGAAATTATAATAAATCCTCGATTAAATTTACATTATTATACGATTAAAATTACAGAGGTCTAAATTCACAAGAAAAATTAAATTTGATTGATTAATTTTAAAATTCATGTTATATACCTCTCACTGTCCAATAACAGCTCATATTCTTTTATTTCTAAAAGTCCTTTAAAAATAAATACGACAAACTGAATTGAAAAATTGTAACAATACTTGATAATAAAATTAACTAATTGATTGTCCTTTTATATAACTTTTGATATAAGATTAAGTAAAAAAATCGCATCTGTGTGTAAGAAATATCCAGTTATAAAATGTTCCTAACATTTTTATAACTTTTAACTTATAAAATAATTTATAGGATGGCAGGAGACCCTTGGGTTATCCAACCACACGAGCATGCGAAGTTTGCCGAGCACTTCCGCAACCTGGGACCCATCAATGGCACCCTCACTGGAGAGCAAGCAAAGAGATTCATGTTACAAGTAAGTTAAAAAAAAAATTTAAAAATGATGAAATAAGGCTTTAAAAACAAAAGAAAGACAAATGAGATTCTAACTTTGGTGTTTAATTTTTTATTTCAAATTCTATTTCTTATATTGCAAATACGTTTTTTCATGATGTTGGATTTATGATGGTTTCATCATAGGATGTTCTTTACATGAAGAAATGAAATAAGTAAAGTAGAGCAAGGTTAAGAGTCCTAGTGGTAGAGAAAAGGAGTAAAAGAGCATGTTATGGGCATGTTATGAGGGATGGATTGCATGTCAGAAGGATGTTAGTTATAAATCTGGAGGTAAAATGGTAGAGGTAGACATAGAAAGATATGTATTGTGTGAAAGGTGATGAAGAAGGGAGTAACTGAAATGGGAAGCGACCGCTGCCCATAAACATCCGCAATTGCAGCATTGCCTACCCTTTATTGACGGAGGAGACACACATAAACAGGACATTTCCCTTTCCTATGCGTCTCCACCGTCTAATCTACTTTTCTTTCCCATCATTTCGTCTTAAGAAAAAGGTGGAAAGAAAGGAGACTAAAACTATGCCTCCGGCACCACACTCATCAGACGAAACACGGAATTGCTTCCACTTCACGCCTGTTTTCTGTGTGGTGCCCTGCAGTGCTAAGATGTTAAAGCGGGCTCTACCACTGTTAATATCTTTTCCTTGTCTTTCAGTCCCAATTACCTCCACCGATACTCGGCCAAATCTGGTCTTTGGCGGACACTAATGCAGATGGGAAACTAGATCTTAAAGAGTTCTCTATCGCTTGTAAGGTAAGGTATAATATACTAAATTTCCCATGACTTGTCTGGGAATTAAAAATAATTAGAGTTGCCCGTGTTCCAGACTGTCCGCTACATGTATGACATAAGCCGAGATTCGTTCAGTTTAGGTTACAAACAAACATACATGCATATATAGTAGAACCTTGATAAGCTAAAGTTCAAGGGAAACACAAAATATTTTAAGTTATAGAGGTTTTAAGTTACCAAGGGTCTATGTTGTAGGTTTTGGGCTCCGATGGGAAGGGTACATATTTTTTGAAGTTACCGAGGTTCTACTATAATGTTACTAGGATTTCTATGTAATTGCTACTATATTAGTCATTTAATTTTTTTTCCAATACTAATAAAGATTGTCATATATTTAGAAGATAAACAGTCCTAAAGAACACATAAAGTACTCAATTTTATTTAATTATGCTCGGACAAAGTCGAAGGCAAAAGTTTGTTTTAAAATAATATACTGAACTTAAAAAAAAATACTTTGTGAATATAATTTTAGTCTCCTAATAAAAGTAATAATTACTTTAATATCTTAAGTGAAAACTATTATGTTTTTTTTTTATAATTTTCAGATAATCAACCTCAAACTCCATGGTATTGAAATACCTAAAGTTTTACCACCATCTTTACTCGCTTCTCTAAGTCCTACAGGTAAATTATCCAATATATCTTGTTTTATCTATATTTGTAATTAATTTAATAATCTGTAACAATCTCTTTCAGGACCTAAACAATTCGCCCCACCAGCAAAACCCCCCATCCCTCCAATGCCAACTATCCCACCCCAATCTCAACAATTAATCTCAGGTTTACCAACTCAACCAATCCCATCCGCACAACCAATCCAATCCAACCAATCTCTACTCGGAGATTTCGGTTCTCAACCATTAATCAACACAGGCCCATCAGCACCACAACCTTCACCTGTCATCCAACAAAAACCATCCGTACCGGACCTAATTTCCGGTGTAAAACCACCACAAACACAACCATTGATATCTAACCAACCATTAATCCCAACCGCATCGATCAATCAACCATTAATAAGTCAAACTCAACCAACAACATCCCAACCATTAACAACTCAACCATTAATAGGTTCTCAACCGATAATCGGCTCTCAACCAATTATAGGTTCAACTCAACCATTAATCCCAATGTCGGAAACTCAATCACTCATCAATACAGCCCCAATTCAACCAACCCAACCATTAGTTGGAACGATTCAACCACTTATTGGTCCAACTCCACTCATCCCATCATCTCAACCCCAACCGATACCAACCGGGACTACAATTGGTTCAACAATTAGTAGCCCTCCTAAAACTAGTGATGCGGTCGCGGGTTCGATTCCAAATCAACCGGTGACATCCACACCTATTACAGCTGTCAAAAGTGATTCCTTTTCTAAACCTGGTAAGTGTATTCAGAGCTTTTATTGTTTTTTTTAAAACTAGCTGTTTCCGTGCGACTTCACAATTGTTTACAAGTGTCAAATTATCAATTGCAAATGTCATTTTGACAGCCGCATGGGAACAGCTAGTATATAAATATGTTTTTAATGTTAGTATAGATATGTAATGATTTTTTTTTTGTATTGATAGGTTCTTTAGTAGGAAGTCCAGCGGAATCCCCAATGGGGGTGATGACACCCCCTCCCGCTGTGGAATGGGGGATACCACAACCGCAGAAACTTAAGTAAGTAAAATACCAATAATAAATATACGATTTCTTATATTTTTAATGTTATGGAGTTTTTTTTATTTTGTGTAATTTATTGTTTTTGCTAAATTAAATTTTTGCTCATAAATATTATAAGGCGCTATAAATTTTGCTATTTTATAACAACAGGCGCTATCTAAAATTAAACTAATAAGGTTTTTTTTTATAATAAACAACTTTTTTTGCTTGTGTATATTGTGTTTTTGTTTTCGATAAATTTTGGGTACTTATTGTATTGTATATTTAATTAAATGTAAAGAGACAAATTTTACTTACACCAAAATCTGTTTAACTTGACGCTTTTAGGGATATTCAGCCTTAAGTCTTACATTTTCAAGTTTAACACTGTTCAAACAGTATCCATAGTTTGATTAACTACTAGCTGTTCCTCCGCGACTTCATCCGCATCAATTTATGAAAATGTTATTTTATAGTTTACATGTGTCAAATAATTAATTGCAAATGTCAAAATACCAATTACCTTACTATGGCAATTTTGCTGTCTGATGTTAGCAGTAACTAATGGTCTCTTTCCCACATTAGGGTTTTTATCCAAAATATTAACCCCTTGTGTTTAATGGCGTGAAAATACATAGTCTAAAGCTTGACGTAAGTGTAGGACTAATTCCTACACAAAGAATTATTAAAAAATATGCTGTAATTGCTGACATCTTAGGCAACAAAGAAGTGTGTGTTTTCGCTTTATTATAATAGTATAGATAGTATTATGTGGTTTTCCCTGTATTTGAAGATACACTCAGTTGTTTAACGTAACCGACCGCGCGAAGACTGGGTGGGTGTCGGGGGCGCAGGCGCGGGCTCTGATGCTGCAGTCGCGGCTGCCGCAGCCCGCGCTGGCACAGATATGGGCACTCGCTGATCTGGACGCTGATGGGAAACTTGGTAAGTTACCTTCGTTGGTGTTGTAAACATAAAAATAACTTTATATATGTTTAATCGTCTTCATATTTCTTCGGTTTCACCTTTTTTTTAAAGTGTCAGTTGCTTTATTTTACATCTTACTTCTTACTAATATTATAAATGCGAAAGTTTAGATGAATGTTTGTAAGCGTTTGTAGCCTAAACGGCTGAACTCCATGAAATTTGGCACAGGTTTAGAGCATAGTCTGGAAGAACACATAGGCTACATTTTATTCCGGGAATAGTTACGGTTCCCGTGGGATACATTAATTTAGTTTGTTTAATGTTTACTCGATCATTCTGCAACGGTTCAACATATCTTATTGAAATTTGGCACAGATATAAAACAAAGTGTGGAGTACACATGGGATGAGGTTCATCCCCGAGAAATGTCCGGTTCGAGGGATACGTAGCTTTTTCTTATTTATATAGTTCGTATGTTTTCGAATACCACGAGGACGAAGTCGCGGGCAACAGCTCGTTTGTTATAAACCGGCCTTTTTATAAATCCATAACAGTTGGTGAGAAAAAAAAAGGTCGTCTATAATATTCCTGTGTTTTTCTATCGGCTACTTTCTCGTAAAATCGTTACGCTCGTAGAGGTAGCGATTCGCCATTTAAACAGCGCGGAATTGTAAAAGTAACCTATATTTGAGCCGTTACGGAGATTACTCGAAACAAACGCTGTTTGCGTACAGATAGCAAAAAATGTTTAAATGCTATTTTCGTTATAATTTTTAACTTGCTTATTTGACAATTGTATTATTGTTATTGTTTATTTCAACTTACAATTTATACAAGGGTTTTGATTGTTTTTTTATACCTGTTTCAGGCTGCGAGGAATTTGTTTTAGCTATGTATTTGTGTGAGAGAGCGACTCATGGAGATCCTGTGCCCGCTAAGTTACCACCTGAACTTATACCTCCCACCTTCAGGTAAGTAACCAACTTACTCTCCTTTCAATCCAACACTTAAATAAACAAGTTACTCCAAAAAAGTAGTAAAATCATTAAATAAATTGATTTCAAATCCCAAATATTCTAAAAATAGCCATAAGACAAAATATTTGCTAATTTATTTTACAAGGCGCTAACTTTGCTATTTTATTCCAACAGGCGCTATATTTTTTATATAGAACTTTTATTGTTCTTATTGTATTTAAAGTATCTTCTATTTATTATTTTAGACGTGAATCAGTAACAAGCACGAGTAGCGCGAAGTCCTACGAAGAGAGAAGACGAGAGAATATGGCAAGAGGACAAGCAGAGTTAGAAAGAAGGAGATCGCAATTAGCTGACGCTCATATGAAAGAAAAGGTAACTTAAAACCAAGTAAATATTAATGAAAATAAGTAAATTTTACAACAAAACAGCGATAAATTCTATTTCCCCCCTCCCTATATACCAATATATACTCCCTATATACTAAGCCTGTTTACCCCATGTACAAAGAACTATTGACTATTTCCAGGTGAAGTTAGAAAAAAACACATTAAAACCCCTAAAACAGGGTATTTAGTGTCCGACCCAAATTTCGGTTTCTGTTTCGGTCTTAAATTTAGTTTCGGCAACAGTTTCGGTTTCGGTCAAAATGTAATCTAAACTTTCGGATCTATCGAAACTGGAGTGTTCGTGAGTTTTTGTGCGTTATTTCAAGTCTATTTTTATTGAAAAGCTGGTTTTTTAATTTTTATTTTACTAAAAACAAAATAAATTCATATCTCTTGAAAATACAATATTAATTTCAACGTTTGATCTGTCGTTCAGAAATAATAGATACAAAAATACACTATATTTCGGGTTTTTCGGCCGAAACTTTCGGTTTCGGACTTGCTCTCGTCAGCAATTCCGAAAGTTCGGTTTCGGTTTCTGTTTCGACTGTAAAATCAGTTTCGATCCACTATATATTCTTGCTTAGATTATAACCAACTTTATTTTTCAATGCAATCTAGGAGGAAGAGGTAAATACTAGCTATTTAGAAGATAGAAAGGTCTAGAAGTAGTGTGTGTTTGTCCATCTCCACAGATGCTAGCATCAGTTTTGATATACAGTAGAACCTCGATAAGTTAAAGTCCAAGGGAAACAAAATATTTTAAGTTTTAGAGGTTTGAAGTTATCAAGGGTCTATGTTGTAGAGGTTTTGGGCTCTGATGGGAAGGGAACATTATTTTTTGAAGTATTAGAGGTTTTTAAGTTATCGAGATTCTACTGTAGTTAGGAAAATAGGAAAAAATATTTTATATTTTACTAGCTTTTGTCCACGATTTCGTCCGCGAAAATTCAAACAGTAACATTTTCTATGTGGTATCTTCCAGACTATTGTTCAGCTTTTTTTGGACAAAACAAACATCCATACAAATGTTTGTTATTTATAATATTAGTATGAAGTTTGATTATATATGGATGTTTGTTTCGTTCCAAAACTATTTAACGGATCTCGATGTTTCACTTAGCTAATGTTCAATTCCACACAAACGCAGTCGCGGGCAAAAGCTAGTAATTTTTTCGTTAGTTTAAACATGTTGTTAAATTTTGATTTAAAACTTAATTTTTGAAACAAAAACCACTATAAACGATGTATTTCAGGCTGAAAGAGAACGTAAAGAGAGAGAAGAAGCCGAGAAGAGAGAGAAGTTGCGTCTAGAAGCTCAGAAGAAAGAGCAAGAAGAGTTATTGCGTAAACAGAAAGAAGAACAGGTAACCTTTATTACCATATTTAAAATTAAAAAACCGTATGACATACATAAGCCTAAAAACAAAAACTACCAATATTTACCGATAACTACCAAATTTTACCAAAATCTACTAATCATAACAGAATAGTCTAATTATCTTTACAAGCTCGCATATATAAAAAAGTGCGAAAAATATTCTTAAAAACTAAACTACCAAATTGTACCAACTTACATACTGACAGTTCCTTCAGAATAATGTACCCCTTAACATAAAATACACGTGAAAATGGCCCTTATTCTTAGTAATAATATAATTGTAGGAGAAAAGAGAATCGGCAAGAAAAGAGATGGAAAGACAATGCCAGTTGGAATGGGAAAAGAAAAGGTATTTACTAAGTAAATAATATATTTTGTATTACATAAGCATCGCCAGAGATCTCCCCTTTTTTATTTATTTGTATAGTCCCCCTTTTTATTTGTTTGTACAGTCCCCCTTTATTTATTTATTTGTACACTCCCCTTTTTTTATTTGTACAGTCCTCCTTTTTTATTTATTTGTACAGTACCCTTTTTTTTTATTTGTACAGTTCCCCCTTTTTATTTGTACAGTCCCCCCCTTTATATTAATTTGTACATTCCCCTTTTTGATTATTTTTACGTTCCCCCCTTTTTATTTGTTTGTACAGTCCACTTTTTAATTACTTTTATAGTTCCTCCCCTTAGAATTGAGAAATGAAATTAAAATAAAAACTAAATACCAAAAGAAAATAAAAAAAAATATTAGCTTCCCCCTTAGAGTCCAAAAATATAGAATAGTTCAAAGTAATTCCAAGTGCCTGTCCCACCGAATTGTATTTACAACGATACACGTTGTAAATTATGCGATGGAAATATCGTTGTTTCCTTATCTGACAGTGACGTCATACTATCTGTGCCTCTATCAGCCAGTGATGGGACAGGTCCTTTAAGTTCGATATTTTGTTACGAGTAAATCGAATATCGATAGTTATTACGCTATGCGCTATTTCCCATCCCTATTGTTTAATACAGTAGAACCTCGATAAGTTAAAGTCCAAGGGAAACAGAATATTTTAAGTTATAGAGGTTTTAAGTTATCAAGGGTCTTTGTAGAGGTTTTGGGCTCTGATGGGAAGGGAACATATTTGAAGTTATAGAGGTTTTTATGTTACCGAGGTTTGAGTTATCGAGGTTCTACTGTATTTATAAATTGTGTAGATTAAGTCTAGTTTTCTATATTACAATAGTCAATATGCATATGACGCCAATTTTACCCAACTTTTTTTAAGTATACTTTATTACTATAAAAATATTCCTGCAAAGATTTTTTTAAATATAATGTGATTTAGTGGCAAAATTTAATAATTTAAAAGTGTTTTCAAATTCCCTCGCTAAGTTCTAAAACGCACACTATTGGTCGAAGCAAGTGCCTTATCTAATATGGCGTCGCTGTGTTGACAATACACACTTCATTTACGTTACTTTATATAGAAATACACTCTTGAAGTATTTTACTGTAAACACGATATCAAAACCAACTTCAAAATAAAAAATTAATGAATAGCATTATTAATTACCACTTATTTGTACCAGGAATAATAAAAATTAATCGATATTTGACTTTTTGACCTTGAGAAACTTTGTTGTGTTTTACGTCGAAGTGACATCTGAGCGTATGTTATGAATGGAATAGACATTTGACGTCACTTGTCTCATGACAACTCCGGTCGCGTTTTAGTCGCTCGAAAATGGTCGTAATTTTATTTTATTATTTTAGCTCAATGGTTGAATATTTTCGCGTCATTTTTTGTGGTTTAAAAAAAGAAAAAAATATATGGGTATTCCCTATTCCTAGGACTAGAGAACTCGAGGCCCTAAGGGCGGATGAACAAGCCAAAGTGTTAGCACTGAAGGCCCGTAGTGCGACCCTAAGTGCATCCTTAGGGGCCGCCGCGCAAAGAGCGTCAACTTTAGCCAAATGTATACGGGACACTCGCACCAGTGTCGCTGCCGCCAAGTGTACGATCGACGGCATGAGGTGATTATAATGGCCGTATACTGAAATCACGTATAGGCTAAAAACCAAAGATATTCAATAAATATAGAGTAGGCATATTTTATTGATACTAGCTGTTGCCCGCGACTTCGTTCGCGTGGTATTTAAATAACAAAAAGCTACATATCATCAAAAACCGGACATTTCTTGAGATCAACCTTTATGTACTTCAATAAGATATGTTGAAGTTGCAGAATGATCGAGTAAACATTAAAAAACTAAATTAATGAATCCCACTGGAACTAACTATTCCCGGGATAAATAGCCTATGTGTTCTTCCAGACTATGCTCTAAACCTGTGCCAAATTTCTCGGAGATCTGTTCAGCAGTTTAGGCTACAAACTCTAACAAACATCCATCTAAACTTTCGCATTTATAATATTAGTAAGATTATTATTTGACACTTCACTTGATTTTTTTCACATCTTACTAATTCTATTCATAAAAGATCTATTATGAATCAATTGCCAATGTTATTAAATAATTTATACTATTACTAGCTATTGCTCGCGACTTCGTCTACTTAAAATTAAACATTATATAAAAGATATAGTCTATGTTACTCAGCGATGACGTAGCTTTTTAATTCATCATCATCAACTTGCCCTTATCCCGGGAGGGTCGGCACAGTATGTGCTCTTCCATACATCTCTATCAGTCGTCATATCTGAATACACTCCTTTCTTAAGCATATCCTCTTTCACACAATCCATCCATACTTTCTTGGGTTTTCCTCTTCTTTTGTAGCCATCCACATTCTTAACACTTTCTCGTTTATGTCCCCATCGTCTCGTCGCATAACATGTGCATACCACGCTAACCTTTTGCTTCTCAATTTCTCCACCATTGGCGCTACTTTCAAACTTCCTCTAATGTACACATTCTTAACTTTATCCATTCTTGTCACACCACACATCCATTTCAGCCACATGCAATCTCCTTTCATCCGTAACTTTGGTGGCCCAACATTCAGCTTTTTAATTGTGAAAGAATTTTTGAAATCGTCCCAGTAGTTTTTGAGTTATTTCAATACATACAAAATACAAATCATTCCTCTTTATAATATTAGTGTAAGAAGGAAAGATTTTTTATTTTTGTATGTATTGAAATAACTCAAAAACTACTGGGACAATTTCAAAACTTCTTTCACCGTTAGAAAGGTAATTTATCTATGAGTAACATAGGCTATGTTTTTTATTATTTTTTTAATTACACGCGAACGAAACTACGAGCAACAGCTAGTGTATGCTAATATTATAAAGATGAAAGATTCGTATTTTTGTATGTATTTAACTCAAAAACTACTGGATAGATTTCAAAAATACTTTCACCGTTAGAAAGGTAATTTATCTGTTAGTAACATAGGCTATGTTTTTTTAATTTCACGCGGATGAAGTCGCGAGCTACAGCTCGTCAAATATTACTGTAACATCCATCCATCTAAACTTTCGCATTTATAATATTAGTATAACTATTTATATGTACGTTTAAACGCGTCTTACAATCTGAAAGATGTCAAAATTTGAATAGAATTTGGGTTTTAAACCAATTTAAAACATATGTTTAAATGTCGTTTCAGTATACGGCCTTCAGTCAATTATTATTTTATTAAACATTTTTTTCATTGGTTTTTCACTTCATTTTTTTTACAAGTTCGTAAAGTTTTCAGTGATTTCTAAATTAAAGGGATTTTTGATAAAAATGGCCATAAAAATCTAGTTTAAAGGGTTACTAAACGGCCCTAAGTAAAGTTTTGTCAATAATGGCCTTTCAAGGGACTAATGGGGATGTTTCCATATACGCAACATTTAATTACAAAAACACTTAACTAAAAACAACTTCTCGAAAGACCGCGAAAACGCCTCATGACATGACGTCACTTCTTTGTCAAAGTCATTCAAAGTGACCAGACGTAAATTGAATTAGCTATTCAAATAACTTTTACTATTTTTTTTTCGTCATAGTGATCGAAAAATATGTCGTAAATCTAAAAACACTTAATAATGTAGTCCTCATAATATAACACACGCAAACTCAATTATTATAATCATTAAAAAAAAATTATAACTACAAAATGCACTGACATTCACTGAAGCTGGTCACACTGCCATGTTGTTTGCGAAGAAGCTACGTCACCGAGCTCTGATTGGTGTTTGAGATCGAGTAATGGAGGGTAAAAAATATTGCAGCGTTTTTAATTTATATTTCAATGGAGACAAACATTTAAGGTCTCCAAATGTTATTAGAGGTTTTAAAATACTGTCTTTAAAATATTAAACATAACTTTATTTGAATTTGTAACATTAGGAAACATCCCCATTGAATAAGCGTTTAGCTTTTATAATGAAAAAATGTTTGTAACTCAAAAACTCAAAAACTACTATATTTATATTAAAAATTCTTTCACCATTATAAAGCTATATTATCACTAAATGTTATAAGATATTTATATCTGTATATTTTTTATATAATCCACCGAAATGTAAAGCGACCGCTGCATAAACATCCGCAATTGCAGCGCTGCCTACCCTTCATTGACGGAGACATAAATAGGACATTTCCCCTTCCTATGCGTCTTCACCGTCAAATCCACTTTTCCTTCCCATCCTTTCCTCTTAAAGGGTAGAAAGAGAAAGGGACTAAAATTAGTCCTCCGACAAACTCTTCAAAGCGTACGTGGAATTGCTTCCACTTCCCGCCTGTCTGTGTGGTCGTGGTATTGCTGAGAGCCCTACAGTGCGTGTTAAAGTGGGCTACCACTGTTAAATTTAAAACTACCCTACAGATCGGATCGTGACGCCAGTATGTCTGAAATGCAACAATTAAAAACTAAAGTAAAAGAATTGAATGCGAAACAGATATCTTTGAATAAAGAGAAAGCGGAATTAGAAGCTAAGGTAAGTGAACCAAGTATTTGACTTTTTGTCTCTTTGTCTGTGTGTTTGTTGTCTCTGGAGTGGTTTAAGTACTTGACTTGTAATCTACAGGTCTTGGAATCTCGTTGTACCAAGATTTTAGAGTTTTTCGAATTGTCTTCTATACTATTATAATGAAGCGTAAACACACACTTCTTTGTTACCTAAGATGTCAGCAATTACAACATATTTTTGAATAATTTTTTCTTTAATAAAAAGCCCTACACTTAAGTCACGTTTTAGGCTTATTTTCACGTCATTAAACTTGGGGGTAAACATTTTGGATATAAACCCTAATGTAAACAACAAAATATAATTTTCATAATTTTATGCGGATGAAGCCGCACGGGAACAGCTTGTTTATATATATATAATAAAATTGGAGTATCTGTTTGATACTAGCTGTTCCCGTGCGACTTCATCCGCATGAAATTATGAAAATTGTAATTTTATTGTTTACATTTGTCAAATTATCAATAGCAAATGTCAAAATGACATGACATGACAAACCTTGGCAATCTTACTTTCTTAATGTTGGCAGTAACTTATGGTCTCTTTCCCACATTAGGATTTTTGTCCAAAAAATTTTACCCCCTAAGTTTAATAGCGTGAAAATAAGCCTAAAGCGTGACGTAAGTGTAGGGCTTTTTATTAAAAAAAGAATTATTCAAAAATATGTTGTAATTGCTGACATCTTAGGCAACAAAGAAGTGTGTGTTTACGCTTTATTATAATAGTATAGATAGATTTTTACTTCCTTTTTAGGCTAAAATGTCGGAAGGTGCGGGAGAAGATGGTAAATTAAATATGATGGAGGTAACTTTGAAACAACTTAAAGATAAGGTAAGTTATAATATCAAGTGAATTTTGTACCAATTTTTTAGGCAAAATAAAGTTAAGTCAAAGATATTTTAAACTAAAAAAAATATTTATTACTATTTTTTTTATAACGTAAGATGGCAAACGAGCAAGCGGCCACCTGAATCCGCCAAAATGGCGAAGCGGCTGCCCATAGACATCCGCAATTGCAGATGCGTCGCCAACCCTTACCCGACGGAGGAGGAGACGCACATAAAGAGGATATTTCCTCTTCCTATGCATCTCCTCCATCGTCAAATCCACTTCCCCTTCCCATTCTCTCATAAGAAAAGGGTGGTAATAAGAAAGGGACTTAAATTAGGCCTCCGGCACCACACTCATCAGACTGTACACGGAATTGCTTCCACTTCACGGTTGTCTGTGTGGTCGTGTTATTGGGGGCGAGCCCTGCAGTGCTAAGATGTTAAAGCGGGCACTACCACTGTTACTAGCTTTCGCCCGCGACTCACTTCGCGTAGGATTAAAAAAAGTGTTTTGTGTCGATGAAATTGGTATAGATGTAGAGGATAGTCTGGAAGAACACATAGGCTACTTTTGTATTTATTTTTAATTCCACGCGAACGGAGTCGCGGGCGAAAGCTAGTCCCTTATATATGTCACGAAATTTTAGGTGGAAGCAGCTAAAGTGTTGGTAGAGACAAAGAAATCTGATTTAGACAGTAATCAGAAGCAATTGTCAGATTTAACTGACACAGTCACACAGTTAGGTGACAAATGTGAGAGAGTGTGGAAGATGTATGAGGAGAAGAGAAGAGAGTTTGTCGAGAAGAGAAGTACAGCGCCTGCTGAACAAGCTTGGAATGCTGGTAAGTTGACCACAGATTCAATAAATATAGAGTACTTTACTTACTTGAAACATTTTTTTATATATTGATCGCGATTTTTTTCATTTTCAATGTTTTTTCTATGTTTTTAAATATATTTATGGTTTTTGAATGTTACCACTTAAATGCGTGATTTTTCCAAACCTGTAAAAAAAAATTTTTCATGAAAAATCGATATTATAATCAAGGAAAAAAAATAAAAAAAAAATCTAGCGAACAGTTTTTTTTTTCAACAATATGTATTTTTTATGTTATTTTTATTTTTGTTTAAAAAGTATATCGTATATCGTTCAGAAACAAATTATTAGTCAAAATAATTAACAAAAAATCTTAAGATGTTTTTAAAATCTATTTTTTCGAATTTAGTTTTACAAGTGTGTGCATTTTAGGGTTTAAAATTAGGTTTAATTGCATTTAGATGCAGAATGGGGTGCAAACGAAGATGCTTGGGGTGGTACTGAAGACGCGTGGGGTGACGCCGCCTCTACCAATGGTAAGTTTTAAAATACTTAATAGCGCGATCTATCTCGATTCTAACGCCATCTAGTGTTACGAATTTGAAAAATCATTAATTTGAAAGTAAAGTTATATTTTATATAGCGATATTTCTACATTACTATACATAATTAATATTTCTTTCTGTGAATTAAATTATCAAATTTTAAATATTCTGTTTGAATAGCTTGGTCATATTTAGACGAATTGACCGAATATAGTCGGTTATTGCAATTTATGTTAAAGAATTTGTTTCTTTGACATTTACAATTTGACAGATGTAGATTTTTAATGGAATTTAGAGTTTCTCTTGCCTTCTTTTTGACAATTTTTTTCAATATACTGCCGTTAGATTTTCAGAAAGGGTCGTTTGAGTCCAATTTTAAAAGGGGGCTATAATGGTGGTGGTTGAATTTAGTAATTCCAAAAAGAATTATTGGATGCTTCAGTATTTATACAATTGTTGACCTTCTAGGTGGGTCGTAAGCCCCCCC